AGAACCCAAGGCTTTGTGCTCTACTGCAAATGTTCTACTATTAAGACCAAACAGAAATTTTTTAAGGTCACCCAGCACAGCCCTGGTTTGCTCTAACTTGTATCCCCTGCTTCAGCTTCCAAAGTACTGGGATTGCCTATAATTTCATCACCTAGGAAGATCACCAGGAGGATTAAGAGTTAAAAGCCAACCTAGTCTATATATTGAGTTTGGGGGCTAGCCTGGGCTACATAGTGAGAGCTTGTCTCAAAAAAAAAGGTATGATAGTATTTTATTCTGTGTTCATTTGGACATTCAATATAACAATTTTACATTCTTAATTTTTTTGAGACAGTCTCATGTATCCCAGTCAGGCCTTGGACTCACTTTGTAGCCGGAATAACCTTCAACTTCTGGTCCTCCATCCTCTGTAGCTCAGGATGACCTCTGCCCAGTTTATGTGCTGAGAATTATTTTGGGCCCACTAAGCAAGCACTCTACCAACTGAGCTATATACCTTCAGCCCTTCTTATTGTCTTATTTTTCTTTTTGAGACAGGGCCATGCTTTGTAGTTTAGGGTAGCCTAGAAATCACTACATAGCTCAGGCTGGCCTCAAACTCTGCAAGTGCTGGGATTTATAGGAACGAGTGACTGACTATTATACCTCCTTTAAAAATTCTTACTTGTGACAGGTGGTGGCACACGCCTTTAATCCCAGCACTAGGGAGGCAGAGGCAGGCGGATCTCTTTAAATTCAAGACCTGCCTGGTCTACAAGAGGTAGTTCCAGGACAGGCTCCAAAGCTACAGAGAAACCCTGTCTCAAGGGGGCTGGAGAGATGGCTCAGAGGTTAAGAGCATTGCCTGCTCTTCCAAAGGTCCTGAGTTCAATTCCCAGCAACCACATGGTGGCTCACAACCATCTGCATGGTGGCTCACAACCATCTGTAATGGGGTCTGGTGCCCTCTTCTGGCCTGCAGGTATACACACAGACAAAATATTGTATACATAATAAAATTTAAAAAAAAACTTCCTTAAAAAAAAAGAAACCCTGTCTCAAAAAAAAAAACATAATTACTGACCCATAGTAAATTCTACTGACCCATAGTAAATTCTGTCTCCTCCTGTGTTAACACCAGTGCATTTCAGGTGTCCAGAGTTGAGAGGGTATCACCTGACACAGGTTATGGGAACAGGTTATGGGAACGGAACCGAAGTTCTCTGCAAGAACAGTAAGAACCATCTCTCCCGCCTCCTAATATTACATTTTAAATATCGCCACAGACCTGCATGGTTACAGTCAGAACCCGGGCCCTAGCAGCCCTAGTCAGCTAGGCTCGGCCACCAATCTCCATCAGGGTAATTAGACAAGAAATAGTGCAAAGCAGAAAAAAAAATTTACCCAATGTGGTGCCCCTGGAAAGAGGTCCAAGGCCTCCCCTTCAAGTCCGTCTTCAGAGAACCAACATGAGGTTTAGGTTTAAAGAAAGACTAGAGAGATGGCTCAGCAGTTACCAACCCTTGATGCTCTTGCAGTGGCCCCGAGTTTGGTTCCCAGCACCATGTCAGGCAGCTCATAACCCCCTGTAACTACAGCTTTCCGGGTACCCAACACTCTCTTCTGGTCCCTGCAGGCACTTGCGCTCACATCCATGTACCCGCACACATACACTGTTGAGGACTGTGGACCACCAGACCCTGAATTTCTTGTAAACAACTTGTTTTCCTCAGCTCTGAGCAGCCCGCAGCTGCTCTGAGGAGACCCTGATGGCAGGGGAGTGAGTTCTGGTGAATCTGCAGTTGAAAGATCCTGATAGCTGGGGCTTGGCCAGAGCCCTCTAGAAGCTGCCCCTGAGCACAATAAAGTAGGCATTCTTGGCACTCTTGTCTCAAGGATGTCCCCGTGGTCCCATCTATCTGTCTGTCTCTTGTTAGTATATTTTTAAATTTTCAGCCTAGTTCCTATAGCAAGTAGAGCGCAGAACGAAACCAGTGTAGTTTTACAATACACATAATTAAAAATAATGAAATCTTTTAAACAAAAGGCAGCTATATACATAGCTAAGTAGTTGTGATCAAAGTGTGGTCTTCATGATGATCTTTGTCTGGACTCCAGTTTCTCCTTCAAGATGGTTGGACAAGTTTTTGGACCTGCGTGAAATCTCTTCCCAAGAGATAAATTTCTACCAGGCAGGAACCAGCTTGTAAGCCTTTTCCTTCATTCATCAAGAGAGGATACCTTGGTAAATTCCAATTTCTGGGGGTCTACTGTCTCAAAAGTCTGATGGCCATAAGAGCAGCACACAGGGGTCTCAGAATATTTTCATTCCTGCCAGTATAGTTTTGGTGGTGAATGGCTATAATCCCATCACTTAGTGGGTAGAGACATCATGAGTTAGAGGACAACCTGGGCTACATATTAAATTCAAGGCCAGCCTGGACTACATGAGACCCTATTTCAATAAATATTTGGTTTTTTTTCTTCTTTTTTTGGGACAGGGTTTCTCTGTGTAGTCCTGGCTATCCTGAAACTCACTGACTCTGTAGCTTTGAATTTAGACATCTGCCTGCCTCTGCCTCCTGAGTGCTAGGATTAAAGGCATGTATCACCACACCCAGCTAGAAGTACTATGTTTAACATTTTTAATATTAGGACAGATAGTTCTTGCCTAGCAGGCCCCTTTGAAACTGAAGATACACTGGCTGATATTATAAATGATTTTGACTAGGTGTCCCTTACAGCATTGTGAAGATGCGTGTTTCAAAGAAAAATATAGAATAAGGTCAGGTGGACAGAGAAACCCTGTCTCTAAAAACAACAACAACAACAACAAAAACACACAAAAAAAACCAAAAAAATCATAAAAACAGAAGAGGACAGAGGAGTTGGTCAGCAACTGTAATACTATCTTCAGCATAGGGCAATATGCTGTCTCGGAACAAACACTTTCTCTTCTTTTCTTTTTCTTTGTTTATTTTGAGACAGGGTTTCTCTAGTCTCTGGCTGTCAAAGAACTCGCTCTGTAGACCAGGTTGGCCTTGAACTCACAGAGATCCACCTGCCTTAGCCTCCTGAGCGCTGGAATTAAAGGCGTGTGCACCCCGGCCCGGTGAGATCTATTTCTTATTTGCTGGACAGTGGTGGTGAAGCATAGATGATAGAAAGGCAAAGGAAAATGCTAGCCCATGTGCAGTCAGATTGTTTTTCTCACAGTGGCCCAAAAGGTCAGAAATCCATGTGAAGGAGACTGGTGGTGGCGCACGCCTTTAATCCCAGCACTCAGGAGGCAGGCATGCATACCTCTGTAAATTCCAGGCCAGCCTGGTCTACAGAGTTCCAGGACAATCAGGGCTACATAGAGAAACCCTGTCTCAAAAGAACAAAAATACACAAACATACATCGTACTACTGTTTCTTTTGTGTGTTTTAGGGCCTAAAGATGACACAATCTTTTTCTTTTTTAGGGGAACAAAATGGAAAACTTATTCATTGAAGAAACATTGTTGAGCATAGTGCTAACAACGAATTTCTAATCTCAAGGTTTACACTGTCCTGTTTTTTTCGTTTTTTTTTCTTTCTTTCTTTTTTTTTTTGTCTGCTTTGTTTTAAATCTGTTTACGGGGGCTGGAGAGATGGCTCAGCAGTTAAGAGCACTGGCCACTCTTCCAGAGGACCGGGGTTCCATTCCCAAGTACCCACACAAGTGTTCATAACTGTCTATATAGTTCCAGGGTATTTGACACCCTCTTCTGAGCGCCTCAGGTTCCAGGTACACGGGTCGTATATAAACATACATATAAGAAAAACACTCGGATGGGCAGTGGTGGCGCATGCCTTTAATCTCAGCACTCGGGAGGCAGAGCCAGTGAATCCTGTGAGTACGAGGCCAGCCTGGTCTACAAGAGCTAGTTCCAGGACAGCTAGGACTGTTAAACAGGGAAATCCTGTCTCGATAAACCAAACCAAAACAAACCAAAACAAACCAAAACAAAAAAAAAAAAAAAACAAAACCAAAAAAAAAAAAAAAATAAAACAACCCACTCATACATACATACAGTGGGGCATGATAGGTCTTTAATTCCAATACTCAGAAGGCAAAGCCAAGATGATCCCTTTAAGCTGTAGCTAGCCTGATCTACACTGTAGTTTCAGGCCAACCAGGGCTACACAGTGACCCTCTGTTGGGGGTGGGGAGTGGAGAGAGACAAAGACTCATGGACCAAATAAAAACTATATTATGAAAAAAGCCATCTTGGGGCTGGAGAGATGGCTCAGAGGTTAAGAACCCAGGCTGCTCTCCTAGAGGTCCTGAGTTCAATTCCCAGCTACCACGTGGTGACTCACTACCATCTGTAATGAGATCTGGTGCCCTCTTCTGGCATGTATGACTATACATGCAGCCAGAATACTGTATACATAAGAAATAAACAAAATCTTTAAAAAAAAAAAAAAGCCATCTCATCTGCGTCAGGAGTCCAGATGCCATTCTTTTGAAACATCATTGCTGTGTTGAAGTAATTAAATGATCTACTTTGAGAAAACAACCAGGAAGTGATAAGACTACGTTCTGGCAATTGCTAGAATATAACCCAGTGAAGTCATCACACCAGTCACAAGATCTGCATTCTCGCTCAACCTGCACGTCAAAATGTCTGACTCATGACGTAAGGTCCAACTCGAGGTCTAATAAGAATAAAATACTATGTAAAATGTACATTTTCTAAACTTTAATCCACTTCAAATTAAAATCTACCTACTTTTTATTCTAAATAGTAGACACAGGGCTGGGGAAATCGAAGCTGGGACTTTTGGTTCGCGCTACGCAAACCAGAAAAATTCCCAACTTTTCGTTCAGTTCTATGTTAAAAACTAGTGAACCTTTACAGAGTGAAGGTTACTTAACATAGCTGGAGGTCTTACTGAAAGGTGGTTGGCAGCCCGGACAAACAAAGCTGTTTTCAAGGTTATTTACGTGGCCACCCTCGTGACGTGGCTCCGCATGACTTCGCGACCCACGCAGCCCTGCTTGCTCCTTGTTTATCTCGCTGAGGAAAAAACGGCCACACCCAGGATGTCTGAATCCAGTCCTGAGGGTCTAGGATTAAACTGCTCCTTCCCCTTCCTTTGCACAATAGGCACCCCCAATGAGAAAGGTGGGTGAACCCCGAGTATCGAGTCTAATGGGCAAGTGCCCTCTTTCCTTCCATTGTTTAAAGACTGCTGAGGAGGAAGAGAATCTGCCCGGCCGGGTCTCGAAGAGCCCTCAGCCTCCAGCCCCGCTAGCGCTCAACTTCCACGTCTGAGCCTGCGGGCGGTTAGGGATAAGACAAAGCCGCTGAGGGCTCTGGCTTCAGAAGCATCAATGTCTACCCTGCAGGGGCCGGAGCGAAGGCTAACGTCCAGCAGTGCGAACCGCGTGGGGGTCGTCATTCACGCTATGGCGTAAGCCTCCGAGCGAGGGGTGCAAGAGGGCCAAAGGGCACTCGGGGAGCGGTACTCGGGAAGCGGGACACGGGACTCGGGACGCGGGAAAAGAAGACCCCTTCCCCCACCTCAGGCAGGAAACGACGCTACTTCTCGAAAACGAGTCGCGGCGCATGCGCACCCGGTTACTTAGCAACGTCGACGTTAAACTGCCCCAGAACCAAGCCCAGCAACAATCGAGCGGCCCGTGGCCCCGACCAATCAGCACCGGCATAATCTTTGTCACCTCACCAATCAACGCTGACGCAGCAAGGAAGTTTCCAGAGCTTTCGAGGGAGGGCCCTTTAACTTGGATCCATCCGCCCGATGATTTTGTCCATATTATTGTTCAGGAGGAGAAGGGTCGCCGGAAATAAAGGGCCTTTTATTTGTTAGTGTTCCTTTCTTCGGTTTGGAGGAACTGGACCCTTGGGTGAAAAGTCTAACTGAGTGGTAGGAGGTGGGGGACGAGGGACTACTTTCGGCGGCGCAGGAAGACGACGGCTACGTAGGCGTGGTGAGTGACGCAACAGACGCTGCATAAATAGTGACTCGCGCGGCCGCCGAGCTCAGTGACGAGAGGCTTTGTGCGGTTAGGAGGTCTTCACGTCCTGGTGTCTCTACGCGCTCGGCGTTTTGTCGTTTCATCACATTCGTTAACAGGTAATGGTCAGCGGCGCTTTAGTCGGAAGGACTAGAGAGGGGGCTTACGTTAAGCTAGGCGGGCTTTTTCTTGGGGTGGGGGAGGGGAGGGTGAGCTGACGTGACGCGGCAACGGGCCTTCCGGGAAGAGTGGGCCTTGTTCGCGTGCGCGGAGCGGGGGCGGCCCTGGCGCGCGCGCCAGGGAGCTTAACGGACGCCTAACCGATGGAGAGACCATCGCGGTTATTTCAGTGGGGGAAGGCAGAAAGGAGGTACTCGCGACTTAACGGCCAGGCTTAACGCTAATTTCATTGTAGGAGCTATGTGTTTCTGTTTAAACGGGAATTCTTACTAACGGTTTTGTGGCTTTGATTTTTGTTTTTAAATTCATTTATCTCGGCTGTTACTGGCAGTTTCGGAAGTCCCCGCTATCCGTAGCGGTTCTAGACGCTTGTTTAGTGTTTTGAAATGCTTTCGCATTTTAGAACCATGACAAAATAGATTTTGTGTTGAGATGAAACGCGGGGAGGGGTTTTCCCTAGAGATATTTTGTGGAAATCGAAATTTTTACTGGATATTTATATTTAACCTTTTAAATTCAAGGTCAAAATGCAAATCTTCGTGAAGACCCTGACCGGCAAGACCATCACCCTCGAGGTGGA